GGTGTTAGTATTTGTACAACCTGAGAAAATCACAGAAAAAGCAAGAACATAGGGGAAAGAAGAGAAATTGGAGGGAAGCACATTCAAGAACTCCGGCAACACAATTCAAGTCATTCTGCTAGCTTTGTAACTCAAAAAAAAAGAAAAAGAAAAAAAATCTGATTCAAGTCATAAGGGGGATACACAACACAGCTGTTGGCAATGATAGAGCTTGCAGCACTAGTTTCCCAAAGGAGCCAGGTTTCTTCTGAAAATCTTCTCTGGGAAGACATCAGGATGTGCTCACTTGGCAGAAGCACACCTGTAGGAAGAACATAACCTCCTGGAACACAAGAAGTGGAGATTAAGAGTAGGATCAATAAAAGAAAAACAGCTCTGGTGATGAAACTGTCTTCATGCCTACTAGATTTACTCGGTAAAAGACACCTCTTCTCTGACTCCCTCAACCTGCCAGCGTTATAACTAGTGCCAGAGGTTTCCTGATAGGTGGACCTAACAATTCAAGTGTTCTTTCTCTCTCTGAAAAGAGTTAACAGGTGAATTTACAAGGTTAAAGGATGTTGTGCTGCAATTTAAGAATTAAAAAATACATAAATACACTTTCAAAAAAAATTTAAGTCACTGTTTTCTCCAATTCTCTCGAATTTCTACAATTCTCTCAAATTACATGAGACATACATTTTTAAATCAGCAAATATGAACGATCCAGAATTTGACCAGTATCTGCTTTCCAGGCTCTAGCCTTAGCCTGAAGAATGAAAGCGACCTAGGAGAGAAAGCCAGCACTCTGCAAACCTCCCACTAAAACTTCAGGGTTGCCAAAGGGCCTTGTAAAGATTTCTTGGGGTTCTTTTGTGGCTGCATTTGACTCTCAGAGGGAGAAGTGATTAGCATTTACCTAACCATGCTGGAGAAACAGAAAGCAAAGCCTTTGCAGAATGGGGAGAATAGAGTTGATGGTGCTTTTCAACTTGCTTCTGTTTTACGAAGCGATGAATTAGACATTCCCTAAGCAGTGTTTTGGAGCAAAGCACTTCCATTTTTCTTTCACATGGCTATGGTTAACATCTCTTACTAGTACAGGAAGAGGTTTATTCAAAACTCATCTCCCTTCACTTAATCTTTAGGTTTGTTTTAGAGCAGAAATTACCCTACTCATCTCTTCAAGATTTCTAAAATTTACACTGCTCACAGAAATATATGATTTTTCCAATCTCCGAATTTATGGATGTGTCTCAAGGAGGAAAAGTGACTTGTCTAGGTGCACCATGCCAATTAGTAAGCAAAATCCAGGCTAGACCTGAGTGGCATCCTGGCCTAGAAAGCCCATGCTTTCACTCAGCACCACCCAAGTACCAGGAGTTTAACGGATCTCTAGCCTCATCTCTTCCTCCAAAAATGCCTCAAGGATTCAACCATGTATGTTATGTTCACCCTCAACCACATAAAGAAACAAAAACATCAGGATGAGACTTGCCCCCAGCCCCATCCAAACATATGGTGCCAAAGCAAAAGATGGGAAAGGGGAAAAAGATTGTCAACACTAACTTTTAGAGATTTATGTTTCAAGCCTCATTCAAATTACAAACTAAGCAAATACCAAAATTATTGATTTACCAGCTGTAACAGGATTCAGAGGAAAACTATCAAAACATCTGGCAGAACTGAGGCTTGAATCAACATGTTCTTGGGAGAACGTATGCCCTGAGTTTGATACCCAGCACGCCCCCCACCACTAAACACAAATTTAAAAATAATTTAAAATCAACATGGTATACTGCATAACTCCGAATTCTGGAGTACTCCACTTTTAAAAATTTGATTCCAAAATGTTACTTCTGTCCAAGGCAGAGCAACCAGCTAGGCTTGACAGCAGGCAGGTCTGTACTGCCCCTTGTGGCCACCAGACGCTTAACTAATAAATGGCTAAAGTCAAAGTCCGACTTAATGAATTTTAACAATGAATGCTAGTTTTTACAAAATACAAAAAAAAAAAAAAAAACTCTTCCAAAACATTTGTGTTGGTCTCTCCCATTTTATCTGCTTCAGAATTTGAGGTAAGGACTATTATCTAGACAAGGATAAAAATCACACTCTCCAGAAGAAATAACAGGATTAAAACACTTTAAAGGATAAAGAGTTCACACAAACAATCATTTTTTAAAGAAAACAACATATAGAAGTTGTATTTTAGGATGTTAAAGGACATGCTTCTGACTGTCAATATGAGCCACAAGTGATTTTAAAAAATTCAATTTTCTTTATTTAAAATAATTAGATCAAATAGTTTTAAAAGTATTTCACGAAAATTAAAGACAACTTGTATCCAATTCTTTAAGAAGTTCTTTAACACTTGCCTCAAATGAAGAACAAAAAATTAATAAACAAGATGAAAAGTGAGAATTATGGATGAATTGATATTTAAATAAACCATTTTGTGTTTAATGGCAAGTAAAACAAAGCTACAGACATGAAAGTTTGAAGGGAATAAGAAGCATGCAATAATTTCAACTCTCTGAAAAGGAGAAATGATGATTACACCCATTCTGTTCTAGAAAGACCAAGGCAGAGTTCTTCAGAGAACACTAAACCCCAAGTGTATCATGAATTAGTGATATTGTACCACTGTTTTTAAATGGGGGTTGGGGTCAGAGGAGAAAAATTTCTTCTAATTAACAGATTAGACAGCCTACATTTTTTATGGAATCAGGAAAAAAGCACTATTTACATGATTAGCAGGAAGAAACCCCGATTTGTTTTTAAGCACTAGGCAAGTACTCCTAGGCATAAGGTAAATGAGAACTCTATTGACACTTGGAGTAAAATGTATACACTGTGGGTAAGAATACAGGTTGCCTTGTATTTAGACATGTCTGTAATACAACTGGGTTCCCTAACTCAGTCTACAGCCTATGTGTTATCCAGTTTACTTCATTTGGGGGACAAAAATGGCTAATAAATGACGAAGTTCAGTCAACCTAATTTCCTGTTCTAACAATTCTATATTAGTTACTTTTGGTGTTCCATTTTAAAAGACTACATAATTCTTAAAAAAAAAAAAAAAATCTGTCAGATATTGGGAGCTTGTATATGCATCCCAGGACTTAGACACCATACATGCCTCTAAAACAATAATAAAAAAAAAAAACTGATATAATCTCCAGAGTATCATGTAACAGCCTCCTGACCATAATTCTACTAGGTGCCTCTTATACTGTTGACTCCTTGCAAGGTCTGCAATATTTAAAAAAAAAAGTGCTTGGCCTTCTCTTGGATAGACCCCTATCAGACACAGAAATACCTATGCTGTGTGACAAATAGAGAAGGCAGTGGAGAACCTGCTCCATTGCTACCAGGGTTGGCTTCCACATGCCATAACACCAACCCTAATTCTGGACAAACCCACTAATAACCAAGCACTTGTATTATCAGAATGCGTGACAGGACTAGAACAGCATTCATGATCCTGACCTCTGATTTCCCACAGCCTCTGATTGCAATGCTATGAGTACAAGGTGCATTAAGATGTACACAACAAAATCCAGAGGTGTCAGCTAGTGCTCCTTAGAGAAGCAAATTTGAGAGCTATGCTAAAATCACATATATGCCTACACACATTTGATTACTTAACACCATCTTAAACCCTGGGGTCTATCTCAGCAGGAGACCACAGTCAGCATGCCAAAGGATATCTCATGATAGTTTGGTAGGAACCAATATATTCCATTGAGGTCACATTAAAAGACTGTGGAGGCACATGTTTATTCCTAAACCTATTGCTTAAAAAAAAAAAACAACAAAACAAAAACCTGAGGAAGTAGCAGCCACATCTGAAGAGTTGATGGAGCCAAACAATTTGCAAATGATTGATGGGGTGAGACTCCACTGTGTCATCATCTAAGGGGGTGGATGGAAAGCTAACATATTTCTTAGAGTTACACTAAGATATTCTCCACCCTCCTCTGCCTGCCATATTTTGAGGGGAACCTGTTATTACCAAAGACTTTTAATAATGTGATATCACACAAGGAAGGGGACTGGGAGGGAGGAGACAAGGGCCGTGGCAGAAGGTGGGAGGGCAAAAGCCTGATGTCACTTGGTGGGTCTGGAGAGAGCCCATGAGAGGGCTGAAGTGACACCGAGATCCACTCCTGGAGCTGGCTCTGCACATTACCAAGCCTCGGAATCTCTGTTAGAATCAGCCCATCTCCAGCCCTAGAGTTCTGTGATATGATTCCATTATTCCATTTTTAAACCTGTGGAGTGGGAGTGTTTCTGAGTACCCTGCTCACACAGATGGTGGTGGGAAGAATCTCAAGAATATGTTGCATGTAGTAAATGCCCACTTCACTACGTAATCACTCCCCTCACATTCCACATGAACAAAGATTTTATTATCTCAAAGACGGCCGCAAACACACAAGTGGCTTAATGGCTGCATGGCACCGGTACACGCATGTGAGGAACATGGAAAGCATTTCTCCTAATTGCACATACCTGGGGATAAACATGACCAGAATGGAGTAGAACAGGGCAAGATCACTACTGTACACGAGCTCCACATATTGAGGGAGGGAGAGAGACTGGGGGAAGGCAGGCAAAAGGAGCTCACCGAAAGATAAAATCACATATAACATCCCTACATTCCCGATGATCTAAAAATATGCTGCACTGAAAAACCATTTGTCAAGGCAACCTTCCTGAGACTAGAAATAAGACCAAGGTGCCAACCACGTCTCCCACGGTCATCGCAATCTGAGCATCGCTTCTCCCCTGCCCTTCTACAAACTGGCTCTGTACAAATCCTGACCTACACCACAGCAATCTTTGGAGTTCAGGTACCAGACCTTTTGCCGGATCCCACCTGATTATCTTAGAGCCATTTTATAGTCCCTGCTACTTTCTCAGTCTGTCACTGCACATCACACACCAGAGACTGTATCAAATGCTGTTACCCCACCATACCACTGTCAATAATGTTTAACACAGTATTTCTTTACCTTGGTCTCCTTAGCAGAAAACTCTGAGGAGTTGGAAATTTTCATAGACTTTGACCGGTGGGACTGCCGCCGGATAGAATCCTCCCGGGAATATTTCACAGAACCAGAGGTCCTCACCCGTACCTTGCTGGTACTCTGAACACTATTCACGCCAATCATTTCGAAGGTCCACTAGACAAGGGGTTTGGAGAAAGAAAAAGGCACTTTCCACCCGATACAAGGCTCTAACGCTGGAGAGACTCTGCCGGTTGTGCCTGAGCAGCTCCTGAGCGCTGTGATCCGCCTTAGCTTAAGAGGCACCAGGCTGCCTCCCCAGCTTCTTCAACTACCCTGTTTGCAGCGAGTCTGATTGTTCCAGGCACGGCTCACGTCACTGGCTGCAAAGAGGAAAAAAAAAATGCAATCCCACCCCTGCTACTCTTCTCTCTATTCCACACACACACACACACACACACACACACACACACACATCTTCACACACTGGAACAAATGGCAACCGGCCAGGCAAGCAATTCATTAACATTTCAAATAGCAACACCATTTCTCTTGTGATATTGTGCAGTAAGCTCATTAATGTCAACAACAAAATAGAGATACCACAAATAAAAGTCTCAAGTAATCTGCAAGGCACCATGTGGGGCAGGAACGGAGCTAAATTTCCAAAGGGGTGAAAAAATGCAGAGGGTATCAAAAGGTTCAATCAATTACAGGCTAGTGAAAGGATGGCAGCTACAAAAGCATCTCCATGATCAATAATTTTCCCTTCTTTTCTGTTTCAGGCCACACTCTGTTTAACAGCCATTCACATGGTACTGCTATTCCAAAGAATTAAATGTCTCTGATGACCGCAGACTACTACAGCCAGATATTTAAAGAGGAATTGCCAGCTGGTGGGCAAATGAAGAAGAAAGATGTTAGCTACTTCTCGGTCATACAGAAAAGTTGGGGGATTAGCACATGGCAACTTTAAATATGGCTCAGAGTTAGATCAATTAAGTCAACTCAGATCAATGAGGGGCAATCAGCTTTTTCAAGCACCCTAAACACTGTCCGTGTACATAAGATCATGCAACCTTCCAGAAACATTACAAGTTGAACACTGTTGAAAACAAGGTAATTTTAGTTCTTGACACATGAAGTTAGCTTTCAGCACAATAATCCAGATTGCAATGCCTGACTTATCTGGCATCGTAGGGGCAGAGGGCCATCCATGAAAGAACAATTTCCAGGTAAAGGAAGTTTCCGTGTTAATAACAAAAACAGCTTGTAAATACCACTCTGGGAAGACTGCATCCTCACATTGAAATTTTTCCTTGACACGACTACAAATTCTGTATAGTATAGAGCCAAATAATATGACATTCTTTTGCCTTACTTAAGCTCTTCTGGGCTGTTTTCCTGCACTGTCAGTGAGCCCAGGTAAAGTTGGTGCTTGTGCTCCGCGTTCTGTTTCAGCCCCATGAGAGGGGCTTTCCCTCACCCCCGTTTAGACCTCTTTCCTTTCCAGGCACTGAAGCACTTGGGCTTCAGCTATGATGTAAGACAAAGACACTGACTAATTTTGGTGTAATAATGGGACAGTAGGATTTAAAAGATCTTGGGGCTCTGCTGCCCCAGAAGGTGACATAAAGTTCAGTCTATGTCATCATTTTGTCTACTTTGAGGTACACTTTCTTCTCTTCCTGGTAATGGAGCCACGGAATAACTGTCATTTGGAATTAAAATTCTGTAGTGTCTCTGTACTTTACAGAGCATGTTCCAAAGACATAAAAAGTGGTGTAATATAAGAACGTAATAAAGCTCACCATTTATAATCATCTTAACTGAAGCAATATGGCAATTCTATGGGCAAACCTCTATTTAACCAAAATAAGCCTAAGGTAGGTAGAACCATAAAGGAACTGGCAGAGAGCTAAGGTTAAAAATTCAAAAAGTACTGTGTCCAAGATAGGAGAGCCTTAGAGAGGCTCTGAACAGAGAGCACTGGTTTAGAAGAAACACCCTTGGCTACCTGGCAGTCACATCAGGAGGAGTAAGAGTATGTTTCCTGATGAACTGAATTTTCTTTTCCCCATCAAAATGGTTTAAAAAAAAAAAGAATGAAAACCACATGCTACCTTATAGAGAAATGTAATCTATATATCCAACTTCATTTCTGGGGAATTTTAGCAAAAATGTACCATTCTTTACTGAGTGACTGTCCAACTGGCATTATACTTGGACTACCGTTACTAATAACCATTTTCACCTGTTCAGCATCTAAAACTTTTTATTTATTCACTGGTACAAAGGATTGAACCCAGGGATGCTTTACCATTGAGCTGCATGCCCAGCACTTTTTATTAATTATCTTGAGACAGGGTCTCACTAATTCCCTAAGGGTCTCAATTTACGTTGCTGAGGTTGGCCTCGAACTTGATATCTACCTACCTCAGTCTCCCAAGTCTCTGGGATCACAGGCGTGCAAAACTGTGCCTGGATTCAGCACCTAAAACTTTATAGAAGTAATAGAGTATCTTACTGGGGTCTCAAACTTGCACTTCTGTGAGGTGGCTTTGATAGTACTGCAATCCTTGCACAGGTTAGGAGAGTAGAGTACACCTGGGACGCTTTGACAGAGCCTGGACTCAAACTCTCACACTGTGCTGTCTCCTGCATATGCTCTTTATGGTGTCCCTTCCTTTTAAAATCTGTAATGAACCTTTTTGCAGTTCAGGAAGGAAAAAGTATCCTTCTGTCCTTGCCACTATTCTCTATTCCAGAATATAAAATTAATAACTAGACACAGTGAAGGGAACTGCAGATGGTTCACATCCCTGAACATGTCCTTCTCTACCGGCACAGCTGAAAGGACCCCTAGTGCTCAGGGCCTTGGTGCTCCGGCCTCACCCTGCAGACCTACGTTTGATCCCCACCACTTGCCAATATTACAGTCTCTTCAGGCAGGACCATCTCTTTATTCCAGGCTGATGTTCCAGACTGTGGCTTCCTCTCACCCATGCATGGGAAGTGAGCTTGCCTCCTTTCTGAAGCTTTTCTGAATCACCCACGCCCCCTTCTTGCCTAGAGCTCTGTTGTCCCCACCCTGATCCCCCATGTAGCTGGCTTCTCATCACTCAGTGGTCAGCTCTAAGGTGACCTTTTCAAAGGGACTTCATCTGGCCACTCTGTCTAAAACTACCTCCCTCTCTCCACCCCAGTCATTCTTCACAACCTTCTTCAGGACACTCCTCACTGTCTGAAATCACCTGCATCTCACAGCCTACATCAGGCCCTGGTAGAGAACAGGACTCAAAGACCACTTACGGAACAGGCAAACTACTTCACTATAAAACAAGTACCCCCCTTCTCTATCAGATTTCACAAAGCATTTGTTTTTTTGTTTTGTTTTGTTTTGTTTCTTCTGCTAAGGAACAAGCATGCAGTGAAATTTATGTCTCCTTCCCATACTGGTGGCTCAGCTCCTTGCCCAGAAATAAGAACTGCTGCCACTGTAGATACATCTTTTCACAGTGAACTCTCCCTTACATGCTGTTTGTCCCTTTTCCTCAGGTCAACAATAAGTAGAAGCATGATATATATTCTTGCTGGTTTTGGCTCTTCCCCTTATCATCATGATCATTCTACATCATCACATATAAAGCTCCCCCTACCCCGTTGTTAACAGCTGCATATGGTTCCATTATATGGACGTATTATATTTGTCAGTCATATTACTGGACATTTAGCTTAGTCCTTTGCTATAAGTAAAGGTGCAGTGACTATGCCTGCAACATATCACATCTTAAACAACCTTAAACAACCTGGCTTCCCAACTATTTCCTGAACAAGACTTTTCCTCCTTCAATATTTACTGTCTCCTATGGTCTTGGTGCTAGATACACAACTTGATGCAACAGGAAAGAATCACTCTCATAAAGACACACCAGCTGTTCCGTCCAGCCCCAGCCCTGCTCTAAGGCCTGGGCTGTTTCTAGACATTAGCCAGCCTATGCAGACAGCCTGCTTCCTATAATATAAAGGCAGGCCTCCCAGAGAGCAACAACTGTTTAAAAGAACAAAATGACTTTCCCTACATGCTTCAGCAGAAAATGAAGGTGACTTCTATAATCAACCAAAACTGTAGGAAAAACTTAACAAGGCAAACTAATTGGAAGGCTGGGAGTTGGTATTTCACCTTTGGACACTTTCTCTAAATGGGGACACTATTTGATATATAAACCCTGAAAGGCTTCTTAAAGGGGTCACAGTTAATGGTCAACAGGAAAGCTTTCTTAACTTCTCTTCAGGAAGAGTCCCAGAGAGAGGAATTCAATTTAATACATCTTTACTCTGTGGCAACTAGGTATGAGGTGCTGGGAATAAACACACAATCGGGCCCCTGACCTTGAGTGCTCACATTCAGCTGAGGGTGATGGGTAGAGAGATTAGGAAATTCTGTTGCCATAACATAATGGTGAACACCTTTCAGAGTACCAATAAACTGAACAGCTCACAGATTCCAAATGAGAACAATAGTGGTGTCTAGGAAGATGCCTCATTCTTCCTTGGAAAACATCAAGGAACCATTAGAACGAACACACACACACACACACACACACACACACACACACACACACAAAGATTGAGTTGAACTCTGGAGAGAAGACAAAGCATAAATAAGCACCCCTATCCAGCGACCTAGAAGGGTTAGGGGAGGTGGGAGGTGTCAAGAGGAGGTCACCTTCGGTTTACTTGCAGAATCGAAGATGGTTGAAATGTTCACCTAATAACAGGCTCTCTGGCTTTCCCTAGGCTCCTCACATTACATTCCCTCGCACTGAAACAGCAAAGTGATAGGATGCTGATGTGGGAGTCGGGGCAGGTCCCGGCATGTCACATGGCCCAACACCTTCAGGAGCTGCTATAGCTGCTGTCATACAGGTGCTAATGAGCAATTCTTTTCCACGCCATTCATTTGGACTTTATTATTAGAACTGGAAGGGAACCCAGAAATAGTCACCTCCAGTCTTATCATTTTATAGATGAAGATTCCCGAGACACAGGAATGGAAAGTCACTTGTCTGGATCCCACTATTAAGTGTCCTGAGGATTCCTAATTTTCCTCACCTCTACATGAAAACTAAGCATTCCACGAACACATCCTTCCAGACTGTATTAAGACTTGAAACAGTTGCCTTGAAATAGGAAACTGAACACAGGAGGCTCCAGTAGTGAAATGGAGTTGGTCAATCATACAACAACTGCGGAAAGGAGACTTAAACAAAAACAAACCAAAAAAAAACCCCTCT